GCATATACCTGCTAACAACACTAGCTTCTTGTGAAATGTCGGGTCTTGTACACACCATTGCATACATCAAACTGCCAATTGCATTCACATATAGGACTCTAGTCATGTACTCTCGTTCTTCATCACAATTTGGCGATAACTGGGCACTTAACTTAAAGTGAGGGGAAAGTGGTGTACTTATAGACTTCGACTCATCTTTTATGTCGAGACGCTGTAGTACCTTATACAAATATTGCTTCTGAGTCAAACAAAGTTTGCCTCTCATTTTGTCCCTGCTTATCTCAATATCGAGTATCTTCTTAGGTTTTCCCAAGTCTTTCATCTCAAATTCTTGACTCAACTGAGCATTCAACTGATCAATCTCTATTTGGCTCTTTGATGCAACCAACATGTCATCCACATACAAGAGTAAGTAAATGAAAGATCCATCTTGCAGCTTGCGTAAATACACACAATGATCATGTCTGCTTCATGTGTACTTCTGCCCAATCATAAACTTATCAAATTGTTTGTACCACTGCCTCGAAGATTGCTTCATTCCGTACAATGATTTGTTCAACTTACAGACCCAATTCTCTTTTCCAAGAATTTTGAATCCTTCTGGCCGAGTCATGTAGATTTTCTCATACAAATTCTCCATGTGAGAACGTTGTCTTCACGTCATGTTGAGTTAGCTCTAAATCCGACGAATCCTTTGATATTGGTTCGTCGATCATAGTTGGTTGTCTCGTCATCGCATCTATCTCCACCTGCTTTGGTGTCAACTCTACCTGTGGGTTTGCGTCGTCTTTATCATACCTTGTTCATAAAATGTAACATTTCTGCTAAACACAGTTTTGTTTGTCCCAAGACACAAAAGACGATATTCCTTCGCGCCAATTGTGATTCCCATGAACAAAACCTTTTTCGCTCTTGGATCTAACTTTGAATTCTTCACATGATAGTACGTAGAACACCCAAAGACATGTAAAGATCCATAGTCAGCAGCAGGTTTTCCCGACCATACCTCCAACGGTGTTTTGCCAACTTTTGCAGATGACGACAATCGATTTATGATGCGTTGCGCATATGTTACAGCCTCAGCCCAGTACTCCTTTCCCAGCATTGCACAACATACATCGAAATTTCTCCACCAATGTTCGATTCATGCGCTCCGCCACCCCATTTGTTGTGGTGTCCATCTAACGATGAAGTGTCTACCAATTTCATTTTTCCGGCAAACTTCTTGAAAGGGATCAGTTGTATATTCTCTACCATTATTCATTCGTAGGACCTTGATCTTCTTTCCAGTATATTCTCGACCATTGTTCGTTCTTAGGACCTTGATCTTCCATCCAGTCTGATTCTCAATTTGTGTCTTCCATGTAATGAAGACACCAAACACTTCATCCTTCGTCTTCATAGTGTACACACAAACACGTCTGGAAAAGTCATTGATGAAAGTGACAAAATAGCGTCTTCCGCCTAATGATGGGGTTTTAGAAGGTCCCCACACGTCCGAATGAACATAATCGAAAACAGCTTCGGTATTATGGATAGCCGTTCCAAGCTTCACTCTCTTTTGTTTCTTAGAACACAATGCTCACAAAAGTCTAGTTTGCACACTTTGACACCTTTCAACAGTCATTGTTTTGCCAATGTTTGCAAGGACTTTTCACCAGCATGTCCCAACCGCATATACCACAACTTGACTGCTTCAGACTCCTTGTTGGTGGAATCTGCTACTATTGTTGTCCCAACAACTGTATCACCTTCATAGTAATACAAGTTATTCCTTATGATGCCTTTCATCACCACGAGCGTGCCGGAGTAGCCTTCATAACTCCATCTCACAAAGTCACTACCAGGCCTTTCGATTCCAAGGCTCATAATGAGATGAGATTTATTCAAACTCGGCACGTACTGAACATCAGTCAAAACTCTGGTGGAACCATCACGATTCTTCAAACGGATTGAACCTATCCAAGTTGTCTTACATACATTATCATTACCCACATAGACAACCCCTCCATCGATTGAAGAACCACTCCCTTATGGGAGACATATGGTAGGTGCATCCTGAATCCAAAATTCATTTGTCGGATGAGATGATGAAGGTGAAACTACAAGTGAAAATTCTGAGTCTTCCCTTACACCCTCGGTAACATATGCATCTTGAGGAGATTTACCTTTCTTCTTCAAATTGGGATAGTCTTTCTTCCACTGTCCCTTCTCATGGCAGAAAGCACACTCGTCTTTTTCAAGCTTGGCTTTGGAACGTGATCTTCTCATCCATTTTTTTTTTTTTTTTGGCTCTTCGACCAACCTCTTGCAACTAACGCTTCATCTTCTGTTGTTGCATTCTTCGTCTCTTGTTTGTTCTTCCTCCTCAACTCGTGGCTATACAGAAGAGAATTGACCACTACAAGAGTTACATCGTCCTTCCAACGGAGTAGTGTAGTCTCTAAGTGCTCGAAGTTGTCTGGAAGTGATGATAACAACATTAGAGCCAAATCTTCATTGCTAAATGTAACGTCCAAATTTAACAAATCTGCAACCAACTGATTGAATGCAATGACGTGGTCATTCATCGATGTGCCATGCCGGTACTCAAATCGGAACAATCGCTTCTTCATGAGGAGTTTATTCTGGCTGCTTTTCTTCAAGAATTTATCCTCCAAGCCTTTCACAGAGTGTGAGCAGAGTTTTCATTCTTGAATGCGTACTTATACTCCCTCGACAAACATGAACGGATTGTTCCACATGCTAAGTTGTTGATATTCTTCCAGTGCTTCTCATCAATATCGATTGGCTTCTTTTCTCCAATGGAAATGTCGACGCCTTGCTGAAATAGACAATCCAACACCTCGTATTACCACATGCCGAAATGACCGATCCCATCGAAGATCTCCACCGGGAGTCTGACGTTCGGCATCACCGTCCTTTGAATGCAGAGGATGATGCGCTCGTGACCTCCTTGGACATCTCAGACTCGAATGCAATGCCCGCCTCTCTAAATGAGCCTAGGACGAACCTTCAGCTCTGATACCATTTGTTGGAGTATCACAACAAGAGCAACGAACAAAATTACCCCTCCTACAAATATGGCGAGCACTACTCCAAACTAAAATAAGCCAACAGAGATAAAAGACGAGAAATAAAAAGAACACAAAAATTGATAACGGAGTTCGACGAGAATAGCTTACGTCTCCCAGCACCGCCAACCACAATGCCAAATTTACTAAACTCACCAACAAAATACAACTAGGGTTAAATAACCCACAAATTAGGGTGTTCTTAATTAAGGATTTCTTCCTAAGATAGAAGATAATAGAATAAGGTGCAGTTATAACCCAAAGGCAAGAGATATAATTATACTAAAAAGATCCTACACATGTTTGGTACACATCCGATATGGGACAACAAATAAGTCAAAATCTAACAAAAATAAAATCAAAATAAATATTGAAAACCACACCCGGGCTAACAAGTGCTCAATGATAAAGTCTCCGCCACAAATGTGGGCTAAAGCGTAATCAAAATCTAAAACTAGTGAAAACGAAATGATGGGTAACCAAGTTGGTCCATGCTCACCAGTGTGAGGATGGGTTAAGAGACACATTTCGAGACGTGCCCGGTCATCCAAAACTGAGTAGAAACCTTTTTAGGATGAATAGGTGCGTTCTAGTTGCATGCTCGTCGAGCCCATGAATTCCATTGCGCCTAACTAGTGGGATGATTGTCTAAACATTCGTAAAAGATAGAACGTATGCAAATCTAGCAATATTTGAGTTACTTGGATTCAAATTTGAATTACATAAACTCAAGTTCTCCATATTTCAACTATAGAATTAATTTCTCATTTAACCTAATGTTATTTTGAGATTTTATTCCAAGTCTTCCACTTGCAATAATAAAACCGTAAAACGGGTAAAACCCCAATTTTTCTTCAATTCCATACATCTATTTTGATGTAGCATTCATGTCAGTCCGGTTCAACTCAGATATTATTTAAAATGCCTATGAAGATTTAAGAAACATTCCTAGAATATATCCAAATAAGTTTGTGTATATCTACACTTTAATTCTGAAGGATTCTAGTATTTGGTTATTAAGAAACTCTTTTTCTTTGGGAGCAAAATATAAAATCCCTTATAAATATGGAATTTAGGTTCATTTTCTAGAAAAGTTTTTCAATTACAGTACGTTGCTGAAAGATTGGATTGTTCGGTTATTAAGAAAACTCATTTTCTTTGGGGAGGAAGCTATTAAATCCTTTATAATTATGGAATTTAGGTTCATTTTCTAGACGAGTTTTTCAATTACAATACGTTTGACAATAAAATTTGTAATTCGAGTGTTGGAGTGTTGTTTAGCAAGTTGACCCGATCCGTAACTCAAGAGATGTGACGAGGCGGTTCGACCCAAAATCTTGACGACCCGATATTCCGGACACATCACATCCCACCCATCTTCGTAGCTTTTCCCGTTGAGGACCTTGAAAAGTTGATAAAGCTCCTACCTTTCCCAAGATATGCGTATATATTTACACGCCATAGACAAACTAATCCCCCAAAAATTGAAATTATAAAAAAAAAAAAAAA